GTTTTTATTAGGGTAACAAATCTGCATACTCAATTTAGTAGGAAATCAGTCCTTGCAGTTCTACACTCTTCTGACTGAACTTATAAAACCATTCTTTGAGTCGATATTTATCTATATTTTATAGGACAATTTTGTCAATAAATCAAATTTAAAAAACGCGTAACTAAGCCAAAAATGCATTAATTTCAATTCGGAAACCTTTCCTATGCCAGTTTTTATTGGGGCAATAAAACTGCATACTCAATTGAAAATGAAAATTTTTGTCGATTTTTGACAATTTTAATGTTGTAACCCCTTATCGTTTTTTGCAAAATCGAACAAATTTTCAAAAAAAATTTTCAACCTAAAATAGTTAGATCGATTAGCTGTTGATGCTGATCAAGAATATATATGATTTATGGGGTCAGAAATGACTCCTTCACAGTTTTATAAGCTTCTGACTAAACTTAAAATACCATTCTTTCAGTCGATATTTATTTTATAGCACAATTTTGTCAATAAATCAAATTTTAAAAAATTCATAACTAAGCCAAAAATGCATTAATTTTAATTCGGAAACCCGTCCAATGCTAGTTTTTATTAGGGTAACAAATCTGCATACTCAATTTAGTAGGAAATCAGTCCTTGCAGTTCTACACTCTTCTGACTGAACTTATAAAACCATTCTTTGAGTCGATATTTATCTAATTTTATAGGACAATTTTGTCAATAAATCAAATTTTAAAAACGCGTAACTAAGCCAAAAATGCATTAATTTCAATTCGGAAACCTTTCCTATGCTAGTTTTTATTGGGGCAATAAACTGCATACTCAATTGAAAATGAAATTTTTGTCGATTTTTGACAATTTTAATGATGTAACCCCTTATCGTTTTTTGCAAAAATCGAACAAATTTTCAAAAAAATTTTCAACCGAACATAGTTAGATCGATTCAGCTGTTGATGCTGATCAAGAATATATATAATTTATGGGTCAGAAATGATCTGAATTTATAAGCTTCTGACTAAACTTAAAATACCATTCTTTCAGTCGATATTTATTTTATAGCACAATTTTGTCAATAAATCAAATTTTAAAAAATTCATAACTAAGCCAAAAATGCATTAATTTTAATTCGGAAACCCGTCCAATGCTAGTTTTTATTAGGGTAACAAATCTGCATACTCAATTTAGTAGGAAATCAGTCCTTCGCAGTTCTACACTCTTCTGACTGAACTTATAAAACCATTCTTTGAGTCGATATTTATCTATATTTTATAGGACAATTTTGTCATAAATCAAATTTAAAAAAACGCGTAACTAAGCCAAAAATGCATTAATTTCAATTCGGAAACCTTTCCTATGCTAGTTTTTATTGGGGCAATAAACTGCATACTCAATTGAAAATGAAAATTTTTGTCGATTTTTGACAATTTTAATGATGTAACCCCTTATCGTTTTTTGCAAAAATCGAACAAATTTTCAAAAAAATTTTTCAACCTAAAATAGTTAGATCGATTTAGCTGTTGATGCTGATCAAGAATATATATGATTTATGGGGTCAGAAATGACTCCTTCACAGTTTTATAAGCTTCTGACTAAACTTAAAATACCATTCTTTCAGTCGATATTTATTTATAGCACAATTTTGTCAATAAATCAAATTTAAAAAAAACGCTAACTAAGCCAAAATGCATTAATTTCAATTCGGAAACCTTTCTATGCAGTTTTTATTGGGACAATAAAACTGCATACTCAATTGAAAATGAAAATTTTTGTCGATTTTTGTTTTTTTTTTTTTTTTTTTTTTTTTTTTTTTTGACATTTTAATGTTGTAACCCTTATCGTTTTTTGCAAAAATCGAACAAATTTTCAAAAAAATTTTTCAACCTAAAATAGTTAGATCGATTTAGCTGTTGATGCTGATCAAGAATATATATGATTTATGGGTCAGAAATGACTCCTTCACAGTTTTATAAGCTTCTGACTAAACTTAAAATACCATTCTTTCAGTCGATATTTATTTTATAGCACAATTTTGTCAATAAATCAAATTTTAAAAATTCATAACTAAGCCAAAAATGCATTAATTTTAATTCGGAAACCCGTCCAATGCTAGTTTTATTAGGGTAACAAATCTGCATACTCAATTTAGTAGGAAATCAGTCCTTCGCAGTTCTACACTCTTCTGACTGAACTTATAAAACCATTCTTTGAGTCGATATTTATCTATATTTTATAGGACAATTTTGTCAATAAATCAAATTTAAAAAACGCGTAACTAAGCCAAAAATGCATTAATTTCAATTCGGAAACCTTTCCTATGCAGTTTTTATTGGGGCAATAAACTGCATACTCAATTGAAATGAAAATTTTTGTCGATTTTTGACAATTTTAATGTTGTAACCCCTTATCGTTTTTTGCAAAAATCGAACAATTTTCAAAAAAAATTTTTCAACCTAAAATAGTTAGATCGATTTAGCTGTTGATGCTGATCAAGAATATATATGATTTATGGGGTCAGAAATGACTCCTTCACAGTTTTATAAGCTTCTGACTAAACTTAAAATACCATTCTTTCAGTCGATATTTATTTTATAGCACAATTTTGTCAATAAATCAAATTTTAAAAAATTCATAACTAAGCCAAAAATGCATTAATTTTAATTCGGAAACCCGTCCAATGCTAGTTTTTATTAGGGTAACAAATCTGCATACTCAATTTAGTAGGAAATCAGTCCTTTGCAGTTCTACACTCTTCTGACTGAACTTATAAAACCATTCTTTGAGTCGATATTTATCTAAATTTTATAGGACAATTTCGTCAATAAATCAAATTTTTAAAAACGCGTAACTAAGCCAAAAATGCATTAATTTCAATTCGGAAACCTTTCCTATGCTAGTTTTTATTGGGGCAATAAAACTGCATACTCAATTGAAAATGAAAATTTTTGTCGATTTTTGACAATTTTAATGATGTAACCCCTTATCGTTTTTTGCAAAAATCGAACTAATTTTCAAAAAAAAATTTTCAACCGAAAATAGTTAGATCGATTCAGCTGTTGATGCTGATCAAGAATATATATGATTTATGGGGTCAGAAATGACTCCTTCACAGTTTTATAAGCTTCTGACTAAACTTAAAATACCATTCTTTCAGTCGATATTTATTTTATAGCACAATTTTGTCAATAAATCAAATTTAAAAAAAACGCGTAACTAAGCCAAAAATGCATTAATTTCAATTCGGAAACCTTTCCTATGCCAGTTTTTATTGGGGCAATAAAACTGCATACTCAATTGAAAATGAAAATTTTTGTCGATTTTTGACAATTTTAATGATGTAATAGCACAATTTTGTCAATAAATCAAATTTTAAAAAATTCATAACTAAGCCAAAAATGCATTAATTTTAATTCGGAAACCCGTCCAATGCTAGTTTTTATTAGGGTAACAAATCTGCATACTCAATTTAGTAGGAAATCAGTCCTTCGCAGTTCTACACTCTTCTGACTGAACTTATAAAACCATTCTTTGAGTCGATATTTATCTATATTTTATAGGACAATTTTGTCAATAAATCAAATTAAAAAAAACGCGTAACTAAGCCAAAAATGCATTTATTTCAATTCGGAAACCTTTCCTATGCTAGTTTTTATTGGGGCAATAAAACTGCATACTCAATTGAAAATGAAAATTTTTGTCGATTTTGACAATTTTAATGATGTAACCCCTTATCGTTTTTTGCAAAAATCGAACAAATTTTCAAAAAAAAAATTTCAACCGAACATAGGTAGATCGATTCATCTGTTGATGCTAATCAAGAATATATATGATTTATGGGGTCAGAAATGACTCCTTCACAGTTTTATAAGCTTCTGACTAAACTTAAAATACCATTCTTTCAGTCGATATTTATTTTATAGCACAATTTTGTCAATAAATCAAATTTTAAAAAATTCATAACTAAGCCAAAAATGCATTAATTTTAATTCGGAAACCCGTCCAATGCTACTTTTTATTAGGGTAACAAATCTGCATACTCAATTTAGTAGGAAATCAGTCCTTCGCAGATCTACACTCTTCTGACTGAACTTATAAAACCATTCTTTGAGTCGATATTTATCCATATTTTATAGGACAATTTTGTCAATTAATCAAATTTAAAAAAACGCGTAACTAAGCCAAAAATGCATTAATTTCAATTCGGAAACCTTTCCTATGCTAGTTTTTATTGGGGCAATAAAACTGCATACTCAATTTAGTAGGAAATCAGTCCTTCGCAGAGTTACAGTCTTCTGACTGAACTTATAAAACCATTCTTTGAGTCGATATTTATCTATATTTTATAGGACAATTTTGTCAATAAATAAAATTTAAAAAAACGCGTAACTAAGCCAAAAATGCATTAATTTCAATTCGGAAACCTATGCTAGTTTTTATTGGGGCAATAAAACTGCATACTCAATTGAAAATGAAAATTTTTGTCGATTTTTGACAATTTTTGCAATCTGGCCAATTCAGGCGAAATTAAATAGAACTCGTCCGTCGTCGCTCTCCATCGTATTTCCAGAGTCTTGGCCGTGCTTTCGGCGTTTATTTCAAGGAAGTCGGCCCGGAGGAGATGGTCGCTCGGAATGTCGTTCAGAACCTCCTTGCAATTGGAAGTCCATTTTCTGAGTGGGAACCCTGCCGAACCCAGCGCCCGCTCCAGCTCGCGGACTGCCTTCTGCGCCTCAATTTTGGAATCTGCCCCCGATCCCGTTTTTTGCAAAAACATAGTTAGATCGATTCAGCTGTTGATGCTGATAAAGAATATTATGTCAATAAATCAAATTTTAAAAAATTCGTAACTAAGTCAAAATTGCATAAATTTTAATTCGGAAACCCTTCCAATGCTAGTTTTTATTAGGGTAACTCGTAACAAAATATTTCTTAGCATCCTTATTCATGAAACGAATGTCTTAATTTTTCAGATAATTTAAGAATTTATGTGAAATTATTTGTATTATTATTTCCAGATATTCATTTCGATGCCGTTCTATTTGATGTGGACAGCAAGGATCTGAGCTTGGGCATGAGTTGCCCACCCCCAAGCTTCCTGGCCAATGAAATCCTACAGCACATCAGAGAGATCATCGGTCCGAAGGGTTTATTTATGCTCAATCTTGTGTGTCGCGACGAATCTCTGCGAAGCGAAGCCATTGACAATTTGCATAAAGCTTTCCCAGCCGTTTGTACCTACAAATTAGACGAAGATATTAATGAGATTGTCTACTGCGCCAACGACGTCAAGTACAAAACTGTGGAACATTGGAAGAAAAGCCTGGGCACCGCTGGCAGGGCTCTAAATAGTGCCGTCAGGGAAACCAAACTGGCCAGTGAGGATGCGCTCGAGGTGGCCGAGTTTCTGGGCGAGTTGAAAGTATAATAATTGTACATAGAAGAATCATATTAGTGAAGAGACAGGCCGTGTTTTTAAATAAATGTTAATTATATATTTATTTATAAATAAAGACTAAACTAATTACTTTTATATATGTATAAATTGCTAGTAATAACAAACTAAATATGTGGCAATAATTTGCAGATGTTTGTTCACTTAAAGTACATACATAATCGTGGGTTTAGGCGAACATTTAGCAAGAATATAGAGGCCTGAAATATAACCTAGGTGGGTCTAAGCTACGCCAAGCAAGCGGACTACAAAATATGCATAAGTACTATACTTAAATTTTTGTTTTTCGCTTAACAGTCATTTGCATTTTACTGCAACACAAAAAAGGAACTCTAATCATTCCGTCTCGAGCTTCTCGTGCCACTCTATCAAAATCTTCTTCAAAATATAATAACAATTCATTTGTACAAAACATTTATAATTAATTTTGCAACACCAAGAGGTTCACCACACATCGTACTGGCAAAAATACAAATTTATCAAATAAAAATCACTGGATCTGAGCTAAAAATCAAAGGCTTTGCGAAATAGGTTGTTAAAGGCGCGCTGCTTCTTCTTGGTGGTTGATGAGGTGGTGCTGCCACCGCTGCCGCTCCCGCTACTGCTGCTGGCTAGCCCAACTCCATTGCCATTTGGCGTGACCCTGCCTTCGCCAGAGGAAAGAATCGCCTCGCCGAGTATCCGGAAAGAGTTTTGCGTGGTGGTTGCATTGGTATTGAGTGGAAAATTGACCTCTGACAGCGAGGAGCTGTCTAAACTGGCGCTGGGCAGGCTCTTGCTGGCCAGCTTAGCCTGCTGCTGCTTCTCGCTCCTCCTTAAGCGGTACCACTCCCAGGAGGTGGACTCGTGCACCGAGTGGCTGTTCTTGATGCCATTATTAAAGGCATAGCCCTTGTTCTTGCTCTTGCTAAATGGCGACTTAAAAAACGCTGGTGACGACAGTCGCCGTGATTCTTGGTGCCCTGCTGCTCCTTGCTTCCTGGCTTGCCGCCTGCATCCACCGTGTCCAGTATCTGGTATCCCGATGGACCCTCGGGCATGAACTCATTGTACGCTAAATCGCTGTTTGGCAAAAAGTTTGCCAGGTCGTCGTCGTCTAATATTAGACTCTCGTCGAAGTCGCTCTGCATGGTAGGTTCCTCGGCCAACTGAGTCTGCGTGAAGGCCGCCGGCGCGGATTCCTGTCGCTTGAGAGCCAGCTGTTGTTGCTGTGATTTCTTCTTCGCCGTTTTCCCGGAGCTCTGCTTTTGGCTCTTAAGGGTGTCCACGTCAAAGAACTTGTCTACCTGCTCGCTGCATGGTGTTTCACTGGTGTCTAGACTGTTGTGCCAGGAGTGCTTGGCCCCTTTGCGCCTGTGCAGGGAGCTCCGGACACCAGCACTGAGCATATTGGCGGTTATGTTGTTGTTACTGCCATAGCACACGGAAATTTTGCGTTGCCTGTTCGAAGAATCCTCCTGCTGCCGTCCTGCTCCTGGACGTTGATGTCGCCGCATTCCTTTAGAATTAGCATGGCCTCCTCGCTGGGACGCCGCTGCTTGGGCGTGGAGAGAGTCAGCATTTGCTCATAGGACTTGCGGCGATCCAGCTTAGGCTTAATGGGAGCCACAGGTGGGTCGCCTTGCTCCTTTTTAAGGTGCTGCTGCTGACGGCGGAGTTTGCGATAATAGACGGTGCCCAGGACGAGCATAAGAAAAATGCAGGTGCCCACGATGATGATGACGAGGATGCAGGCCTGCACTTGGTAGCTCAGTGCCCGCACCTCGCCGGCCAGCTCGGCCTTTTGCCGCTGGAAGAGATGCTCCTGTTCCACGTAGCGTCGACTCTGGTCCTCCAGCTGGCGCACCGTAAGCGTCTGTTGCGTCAGCGTTTGCTGCAGCTCCTCCACTTGCTTCTTGTAGCGACGCGAGAGTTCCTCCAGGTACTGTCCCGACAGCGACATGTTCCGTTCGAGCGCCTGTGGAAGACAAAAAGCGTTGTCCAAAGCCAGCGGTTAGCGAATGTTATGATGGTAAGATACACTCGAAGAAAATTGTGTCTAAATTATATTTACATATATTTTATATTTTGGAAAATTCACATTTGTAGGGTTTTATGTTATTTATATGAAATATATACGCAAAATTAAACTAGCTTCGGATGGCTTTGCAGTTAACTATCGAATTATAGGATCGAATTGGAAATCTATCATTATTGATTTGTTTATGGATGCAATTTTTTCGACAAATCAAAGTTTAAAGGACTCAACTTTATATGAAAATTAATGCAAATATTTGCACAAATATTAAAGAAAACCCTCGAGTATAGTTTAGCTCTTAGGTATTATTTTGAATTTGGAATATTATTGTTTAAAAAGAGTATGATTTTTCACTTGTGTATCTTTAATTGCAGGTATTTGAATGGGTTCGCGTATGTATATTAATGACGTCGACCGGCAAGGTAGCAAACGGACTGAACTGGCAGAACTGTTACAAGGATGGAGCCCATTGGGCGGAGTCCAAAACGGGAAGTGGCTGCCTGGCGCTGGTAATGAGCAGCCAGCACGCAAGTAGACTATAAACAAGTCACAAGGACAACGCGAAGTCGACGTGGAGTATATTCTTTAACATGGTTTTTAGTCTTTGTCGTTAGAAAAAATTATAGAGATTTAATTACTTTAAGAGCAATGATAAATATAAAATTTAAAACAAAGAAACCCTTCACGATTGTTTTGTATGGTAACATATAGAGAACGATTGGGTTGAGCCCTCGCAAAATGAGAGGCGGCATTTTCTTAAATGATAAGGAATTTGTTTATTCAGGTTACCATAGTTATAGGACTCTTGGTAAGCGTATAATTTTGCCTCTGTCTTCCTGTGAAGGTTTCTGCGGCTCTACACTCCACACAGTCTGCGTGGGCGGTTGCCTGGGCTAGTTGCTAGTTCGATTTTTTTGTTTATTTCTATTTTCCTCACCACGCCAACTGATGACGCACAGAATATGAAGAAAATGGGGATGACAGTGGCGGAAAACACTCACCTTGATGCGATTCGAGAGCCTGATGAACACACTCTCAGACTGTGCGCCATTTGTCAGTTTCTGCTGCAGATTTACTCCAGATCCAGCTGATGCGCCTCCAGCTCCAGCTCCCGCCACACCCAGATTGCCGTTTCCACTAACAACTGCAGCCGCTGCGGCGGCGGCTCCACCGCCAGCGGTTATCGATGCCACCGTGGTGGTGGTCAATAGATTGTCAATGCTCTCCCAATTGGTAGGATTTCCATCCTCGATGACAATATCACCATTGACTGGCGCTTCGCTGGAGGTTTGAGCTCCTGCACTAATTGGCGGTGCACTGGTTGAGGTCTCCACATCACTGGGCTCCAGAGTGGTCGGAATAGCTGGCTCTGGGGGAACTGGTAGTTGCTCCTTGACCTCCACTTCTTCGGCATCGGCTGGCACATTGAATATATTGACATCGGCTGGCGTGGAATTGGTAGTAGTAGAAACAGTTTCGCTGGATGCAGTTGTCTGAATCTCCATCGAAGGCATCTCTTGGCTAGTCTCAGGCACCACAAACTCCGGACTTGGCGTTGGCGTTGGTTCCTTTGGCGGGGTCTTATTTTCCAGGCTGCCTCCTTCGTTTCCCTCACAATCCTGACGAACGCCAGATGATGTGGCATTATCCTGCAGCTGCTCGGGCGGACTGACTTGATCCTTTATAGCCGGCGTCTCTGTCTGCTGGTGATGATCGGAAACATTCTGTTCCATTTGAATGATCTTGCACATGGCTCCAAGGTGCTCAGCGGGCAGCATGCTAAGGAAATAGCTTTGTTGCTTGCCCATTTTGCTCGATGAATGCGTATCCAACATTAGGCTAATGCCGAAATCTTCATGGCACACGCGACTCTGCAGTAGATCGGTCTTCAAGCGACTGAGACTTAGAAGCACCTGCAGCTGCTGGAACTGGCAGGATATCAGGCTGTTGATCTTCTCCACTAGGGTGCTATTGCAGTTGCTGCAGCTGTATGCTCCAAAGGCGGGGGTGCGACAGAGCAGTGATTCCTGTGGCCATTTCACAGCCTTTGTCGGCTTAACCAGCACCTCTGCGGCCTTCTTGACTATCTGCATCACCGCATCAGAGGCGCTCTGGAAGATGCCGCCGGTGCCCACGACGCTTGCCTTTTGACCCTCTTGAGCTCCAAAGTCATCGTAGAAGTCATCCAGATCATCGCCCGGCCGAATTTCCGTCTCGAATGCCTCGTACTCGGAGGTACCGAATACTCTAAAGAGCGTAAGAGGGCAGTAATGCTCCGCGGCGTAGTGCGAGGTGATGTCCACTCGCACGAATTTCCCGAAGAGATGCGGATGCAGGTCGAAAGTCTGAAGTGTACGCTTATCCTCGCCGGCAAAGCGACCGACATTACTCCATTCCCTGGTGGGAAAGCGCTTCGATACGGCCACCGTAAAGTTTTTGGGCGATGAGCTGAAGAGCTCAAAGTTGGCCACGTCCACCTTCTGGGCCTGAATGGCCTCGCATAGCTCCACCACGAACCAAATCCGGTTGTCGCAAGGGCTCAGCATGTACTCATCGGTGGACTGGGTGAGCACGTAGTCCGTGTGCTTGGATTCCGAATTGTGGGCAATGATCTTGGCCCCGCAATCCGGTGAGGCGTAGTTTTGGAGCGCAGCTTGAGCGTTGGTGGCTTCCGGCTCGGTGAGCCCGTTTTGTTCTTGCGCTGTGCCGAATTATTCACCACCTGTTGCTCCAGCTCAATAGCCTGCTCCCGGCTAGCCTCAGCCTCCATTTGCTTCTGCGTCCACTCGGAGAACACGGGCATGGGCACCTCCTCGTTGGCCTTTGTCAGATTTGCATTGGCCTCTGTCCCATTAGAGGGGACTCCGGCGGCTTGCTCTTCGCTGGTGTTATTGCCATCGGTAGAGGACGTGGAAGCTTCTGGTGTGGCTAATCCATCCGTTTCGGGGCCTCCTCCAGGGTCGTTTATCTTCGGCATTTGCTCATCTGGAATTGGATCGATTTAATTTATTTTCAGGAGCAGTATTTATATTTCTCGAACTTTCTTACCCTGCTGAGGCACTTCCTTATCAGCCTCGTGCAATTTCAAAGGCTGATCCTGTGGAGGCGGCTGCTCTTCGTCGCTTTTGTTGCTTGCAGGAGCCTGGACATCATCCAGAATAACCGAATCCAGGCGGTTCTTGATCCGATCCAGAGGTAGCTCTGTCACTGTGACAGTTGGCAGCTCTGTGATGATCTCCGGAAAGCTGTTATAATAATTATATTTGCAAAATTAATAGTGGTAAAAACATTATGAAATCAGTTGAAAGGCAATCAATATCCCACCTCATGAAGACCGTTGATATGGCTATTATTTGCGAGAACCATATAATCCAGAAGAATATTAGAAACATGGTCAGATTGGTTTTCAGCTTTTTCAACTCACAACAAATGAACTTCATAACGAATTGTAGCAGCATTTTTCTTACATTCGCTATATATTTTTGGGGCTCTAATTGCGGTTAAACGTAAAATTTGGTAAATCAAACACCAAACAGCTGTGACCATGCTTTAGAGTGTCTTTAATATCCGCAAAGCAAGTAAGAACTCATAAATAGCCACGTTGGAGTCTTATCCAGCTGATTGCAACCGAGGGGTAAATATCTAGAGCAAGCCATAGTACTCGACTGACTACTGACGGAGGTGGAAAGTGTGTAAATATAGAAACAAATAACTCCACAACTGACAATGAGAACGTTTTGTTTTTATTGTTTTAACGAGCAACACGAACAGCAGCAGCAGTTGGAAAGGTGAGAGAGCGTTTTGTATTTTGCTCAGCGAACTCAGAAAAATATATGCATTTTGAACGATCTTATCAGCCGAGTTTCAGTTAGTGGGAATTTTATAATTTATAAATATTTTCCTTCGGGTAATTCACAGTTTAAAGCGCTTGCCAATCTGAGAATCTCACTCAAAACAAAACAATCTTATTTAGAAAACCCCACCAAGAAATACATTATAAATAGAAAAACAATTTCTCAATATTTGTCATTTTTGGTGCTTGCAAAATGATATTTTTGCAAATTTGAAGAATTTTTGTTGTAAATATGGTCTCAAAATCTGACAGGGCAAATGTAAAAGCCATCAAACTAATTAAGCAGACAGCTTCTCTATACATTATTTATGCCATCCAAGGAAATGTGTCTCGAGAGTGTGAAGAGTGCGTAAGGTAAATAATAATTGTACATATTTTCGGGGGCGTTGACAGTTTATAAATAAATTATGCACGTTGATATAATTATGTCAAGTTGAAACCAAGATAATTTAATTACGAGATAGCCAAAATATATGCGTCATTTCAATGTTGTAAACCCATTTTTATACCCCATTGGCAGGGTATTACAATTTCAGTCAAAAGCTTGAAACAAAGTGTTCTTGATCAGCATTAACAGCCGAGTCGTTCTAGCCATATCCGGTTGAAACCATTTTTTCGAATTTTGATCGATTTTTTTTTTTCAAAAATGGATAGAATAGATTACATTGTTAAAATTGACAAGAATTGTAATTTTTAAGATTTAAACCTGAGTATGCAGATTTATTAGCCTAATAATCACAAAGAATGCGAATTTAGGAACGACTTCCCAGACAAGGGTATATAATCTTTGGCTTCCAGAAGGTAATTTTCTTTCGTGTGTTTTTGAAAACATATTGGTCACTGACCGCTTTCAACAATTCTCGCAATTAATTGCGACTTTTACGGGGTGGGCTGAGTAAATTCTTTAAAATGCATATTCCCGAGTGCATATAGCACGAAATACGTTCATATATTATGTCATGGCTGCGGCTCTATTGTTGCCCGCAAGAGCGCCTGAAAATGTGTGAATTTCCTGCTTCTTTATTCTGGAGATTAAGTCGCAATGGGTTTTCCCATTTCCGTCACACAAACTTTATGTGGATTAAGGCTTTTAACACAAAATAAGTAAATATGCAAATATAAGGTATGGGATGCTGGCAAAGTCTGTTTATCTAGTACAGATTGTTCTCTATTGCTGTCTATATAGAACTTAAGTGTGCTAAATTTTAATAATTATTTTTAGGAGATTATTGACTTTACGTTTTAAAAGGCTTAAATTGCGAATGACTGCTTAGGTGAAGCCGTTTTTATAGAGACATATTTCCTTAGCACTTTTTGGCGTAATTGTATCAATTTACCCAGTTATTTATAATAAATAATCCTTATTTATCGTAAATAAAAACAAGCATCAATTGCTGTTTGTATTTGTCCAAATAAATTCGAAATCGAGTAAACAAAAAAGTATTTCAACAACAATGCCTTTTTGAGATGTATGAAATTCAACATGCGACGCAGCAAAGACAGATAAAAATGCAATTGAAATTGAAGTAACTGACCTAAGCAAATAAAGTTTTCAAAGAGATTCGAATACTTTATACCCTCATTCAGATAATGATAATAATATAATAAGTATTCCCTTATAAATATATTGTTAAAAGCTGAGCAATTCACACAGCTTAGACTATAAGCTTCTTTAGTTAACCACAAATATAAACTATATTCAATCGGTTAATTCTTATTACAAACAAACCAACTTTTACCTAACAACCCAGACACCCATCTGACGCCTCTGTGTACTGCCGTCTCCATTGCATCTTCAGTGCCACAAACCGGAAACTTGAGATGACAGCAGGGACACAAGAAAAAATTAAACCTTTGAGTGGACTTGGCCCACCTCAAACCTCTCAAAGCGTCACGAGGCGGCGAAAAATGGTTCGAACGAAGTGAGAAAAAATGCTTTCGAGGGCCGACATGCAACAATTAGCGCACATTTGTATGCATTTTTATTACATAATAAACAAGAGAGTGTCTATCTTGGCTCCAGCTTTTCTTCCCCAGGTCGTTTCCTTTCTTTCGTTTAAAGGTCCCAAGCTAATTAACCGAAATTTGCAACCGTAAGTGATCGCGTTTAGTTCCTCTTTCGCCTTCGGATGGTAAAAGTGTATCAAAAAGGTTGCTACCCCAAAATAGGAAATGGGACTTTTCTGCTCTTTAAAAGGGTTTCGAGAAAGCATACATAAGAACATGAAACTAAAACAATGGGGAAGTTTACCTTAATTTTTTACCTACTATATAATCCCTAAAACGTCCTAAATTTATCAAGTGAACTATTTCGAATTACCTACAATATTTGTAGCACTTTTTAAATAACAGTACCTTGCCTCCAAACCTCCAACTCGAATTGTTGTGTGAAGGGGCGAGAAGCCACCCATTTGTGTCGCCCCAACGTATGTAAATTCATTTATTATACCAAAGTATTCTATAATAATTATTGGCCTGCTTCACGAGTCGTGTCAAAAACGCCCACAATCCTGTAACTCCCGGCTCTGAAGAAGGAAAACTCTCCAGCTGGCTGTATGAAAATATATTTGAATATATATGTATGTATATATATTTATGACTTGTCTGCCTCAACCACAACGCCAAGAGTAAAGTATTCAAACTGTCTGCCTGGGCAGTAAGTCAAGCCATGTAAGGCATTTTGGGTTAACCTGGCCGTTCCGGCAGTTGCGTTTTACATCTTGTTTTTTTAGCGTTGACTTGTCTACAAGTTTGTCAGGAATTTCTGGCTTTTCTTTTCGGCTGCATTTTGAATAAATTAATATATATGCAGCACAAAATATTCCAGCAACGATGTGAAAATTGCTTTAATTTGTTTTTTTCTGCATGCGAAAAGTGAAAATATTATTATAAAGGCCTCAATTTTATAATGACAGCAAAAGAAGTCTAGCTTAAATAGATTCCAAAAGGATGGGAATTATCGATATATATGAAATATTCTTAATATATTATAATTCTTAAAAAATAACTAAGCCGTTACATATATTTAAATTTTTTCTTTAGTTAACATGTTTCGCTTTCAATTAGCTAAACTCTATTTTACTCTTTTAGTGAGTTAATAGCTCATTCCAGCTAATTAATAATTATGGTAATTATAAGCACGTGTATAAACTACTGTTAACCCAGAAACTAAATGAAGTTAGACCAAAACAAAATTATTAAAATGAAAAACTAAACAAAAATATGATTGCAATTCTCAAATATAAAGATCTTTAGATGTCTGGACTGTTGCCAAAATAAATTTTGTTATGTCTCGGTCAGCATTGAAATGTTTTATGCATACAAAATATCGCACTAAATCACAATTGCATAAACACTGGCACTTTTGGATGCTTAGGAAAACATTCTAATGTGGGTGTAATTATTAGAGGAGCAACTATCTTTATGTTTGTTCCCCTCAAATCGTACGATTTCTGTTGACTCTACACCGAAATTTGCACACAACTCAGAGGTGACTACAAATAGTGATTTTGGCTCACTTATTGAATCAATGAAAAAACTAAACTATAAACATTTGGTGGCAGTTTCGCTTAATGGGCATCCGGTTGGCAGATCAAATACAGCCTGAGCCAGTGTCTGTGGCAAAAGCCAAAGCCACAATCAATATTTCCACTTGGCAAACAGAAGGTGTTGGCGGAAATAATTGCAATTAAGAGCTATTATTCATATTTACTCGATCGATATGCGAAATCAATTTTAGGCTTTGAATTGTTACTGTAAGATGGGGGGATATTGTTTTAAGCGTGGTCACAGCTGTTTTTTTATTTAGGGTTCTTTTTTTCGACATGAAGAAAATAAATATAGCAACATAACTCAGAAAGTTGGGATACTAATTAAAGAAAAGTGTTTTTTTTTTAGGAAAAGTAAAGGATTTTTAAAAGGACTTTAATTGAACACTTAAATTGACTTTCTCAAAGCTATAATTTATTTGATTTACTATTTTTTAAAGCCTTTTTCTGTATTAAATTATTTAATTTATTTAATTTATTTAATTAAACATTAAATTACAAATCGAATTAACTATTATACAAATGTATTTCCCATTTCTCTGCTGACATTATTATATTATTTCTTGTTGTACACGGCGGTTACTTGATATTATAATTCCAAATAAATTCAAGTGTTTTGCGGCAAAGTGCACTGCAGGCACATTCACACACACACGAGCGCGGATCCTTTAAGGATAACTATGGGATATTCGATAATGTGGCACTCCGATTCGCAATCCCCAAAGACACCCACTAACAGGGAGCAAGGATGCGGACGAGGTGGCACCACCGGCGCGAGGTAGCGGAGCGCACGATCGCACCACTGGAAATCGAAATGGGAACTGAACGTATTACAGAGTCGGCT